CCACCCCCCCCCCCCGACTCAGCCCTAGGTTCCCCCTAATTCACCTGCCATTGGCCCAAATGACCTTAAACAACCCAAAATAAGGGGGGAACTGGAGTGGTAGTAGGGGAATCCATCCATTCACCCATGACCTTTAAAAAGCTGAACCCTAAACCCCAACCCACTAAACCTTAAACCCTCAACCCCCTCAACCACCCCCCCCTAAAAACCAAACCCTAAACCCTAAATCCGAGATGTCGTGAGCTCTTAACCCTACGCGTCGTCATGCGATGTCTGGCCGGGGACCTTGACCTGCAAACCCAAAGCCAAAGGTCCATGCAGCTGTATAGTAGCTTAGGATTTGGGGTTAAGGGTTTAGGGCTCATGATTTGGGGTTCTGGGTTTGCCTGAACCACAAACATGTGTAGAATGATGGCTTTTTGGGCTATGTTTAGGTGTTTTGAGCAATTCTTCTACCTGTTTTTGGGATCCAGGTATAGGGGTTTAGCATGTAGGATTCAGGATTTAGGGCTGAGGGTTTAGGGTTCTAGGTTTGAGGTTTGAAAAAAAAAGCAGGATTTCGGGCTTCATACTTGGGCCCCAGGGTAGAATTCTACGGGCCCAAAGCTCCGGCTATACACTTACATGGACCCTTTTGGGAAACAGCCCTGAGCCCTAAACCCTAAACCCTATATAGCTCTTTCCATTTCATTTTCCATTTATTCCAATAGAACTCCAATAGAACCTGAATATTACCTAAAGCTTAGGACTTCAGGTTCTTCAGGGCCGAAGGTTAGGGGAAGCTTTAGGGTTCGGGGCTCAGGATATATGAGCTACGGACTAAATTTAGGTTGGGGGGACCTATAGGGGACTATATAGGGACCTGGTAGAATAGAGCGTTTGATGGAGAAGCTTCAACAACTACCAATAACATTCCTCCAAACAATCCTTATTAGAAGTGTGCCTAGGTTGTGGTTTAGGTTTCAGGGTTAAGGGTTTCACAGTTTGGGGGTTTAGAGTTACAGTCAACATATCCTACATATGTTAATGGACATGGGTTCCTTATTCGGGACTTTCTTCAACTAGCTGATGGACCCCTATTAAGCCTATGTCCTCATTCATAAAAGGCAAATCTTGACAGTACTTCATATGATAACAAACCCAAGTCCCTCTTCAACTTATCTGACCCTCGGAGCTATAGTCTGAACTCTTTGAATTTCCCTTAATAGCCCCTGGTATAGGGTTTATGGTTTAATGTTTGGGGTCTACACTCCCAGTGTCCCCCTTTAAGGAGTTTAGACTCTAGCTCATCTGGACCTCGGAGACACCACCCCGGAGAGAGTTCCAACAAACTTCTCGTAGATTCCCACAAAAGCAACAAAAACACTCCAGTTAAAAGCCAATTACAGGGTTTAGGGCTTCAGGGTTACTAAGCGCATTGAGGTTTCCTAGATTTAGCGCCTAGGGTAAACAATGAGCCTCAACAGAGTCTCCATAGTGTCGTTGGGCCAACTCCCCTTCATTAAGTAGACTTTAGCGCCATAATTATCTAAACCCTACACCCTAAGCCCTAAACCCTAGAAGAAGAGCTCTCGAGGTTTCAGGTCTATAAGAAAACGGTTTAGGGTTATTTAGGGTTTAGGGTTGAGCGGTGCAGCAACCATGGAGTCAGTGTTTGGCGCACGCGGCTGGCTGAAGGAAACTCTAACTAGGGGTTATAAGTAGACTTACTGAATCCCCCTGACCCTAGAGACCCTAAACCCTATGCTTACTCAAGTCCACCTGATCCTCGACCCAAACTCTAAACCCCGTATTCACAAAGTTCCCCTGCCCCTGAGTTCTAAACTAAACGCTACACCCTCCCCCAACCCGTCGAGTACCCTAAACCCTACCTGTAACCCCAATTACCTACAGTTTTATGAATTATACCTATTAATTAATGGGCAATTACTACTAATCTGTGGGTAATTGGGGTTACAGGTAAACCTAAACCCCTAAACCCTAAACTGCCTTCGGCGGCTGGCTGAAGACGCTCTTCCCCCAAGACTTTGCATAAGCGTTGCCGAACTCTACGACGTCGCAGCTGCCTGGCAGTCGGCCAAGGTTTAGGCTCATGGTGCTCAGGGTGCTTACGGTTTTAGGGGTTGAGGGGTTTTAGGGGGGTTTAGGGGTTTAGGGTTTTAGGGGTTGAGGGGTTTAGGGGTTTAGGGGTGCTTAGGGTTTAGGGTTTTAGGGGTTGAGGTGTTTAGGGTTTTAGCGTTTTACGATTTTGGGGGTTGAGGGGTTCAGGGGTTTATGGTTTTAGGGGTTGAGGGGTTTAGGGTTTAGGGCTTAGGGGGTTTAGGGTTTCGGGTCTAGGGTAGGGTTTCAGGTCTAGGGCGGGAACACCAGGTATCCCTACCATTGAACCGACTTCCCAAGTCCTCTTGACCCTCCAAGTAAGGTTAGGATCACAAACCCTCTAGCCCGGAGGCACTAAGCCCGAACCCAAAATCCATACACCCAAAGCCTTAGAAAGCCTGGGCCTTATGTGGGGCAGAGCTTCTGATTACAAGCGCCAAGCTCCAAAACCCCAAGGGCCCCCTAAGGACACCAGGGACGGGCTTCCGGTGGTTCTCTTGGGCATGTCGATTAAACTTTCTCTATGGGCGAGGGTTAAAAACTCCCACCTACACGTAACTCTGCACAGTAAACCTTAAACCCCTTTGCCCCAACACTAAAACCCGGGAACCCTACAACGCTACATCCTGAACCCCTACAGGCCCTAAACCCCACCTCCTCAAGGCACCGACGTCCTCTTCCCGACGCCTACGTTCCTAAACAGGCCCCCGAAAGAAGGTCTACTATGCAATCTGTATGTTCTTTGCAAGCCTGAATCCCAAACATCCTCCCTTCATCTTCTAAGTCCTACCTGAAGACCCTAGGGTTTTGGGGGGTTTAGGGCTTAGGGGTTAAGGCTTAGGGCTTGGTTTAGGACCCCTAAGCTCCAAACCCGAAACTGAAAGCTCTGAAATTGCAGCAATGCATTTGAAGGGTCGTTGAAACCTAATTAATCATCACTGCACGCTAACTTACAGCAAGCCCTATACCCCAAACACTAAACCCCAAATCCTTCAACCCTGAACCCTAAACCCTAAACCCTGAACCCCTAAATCCCTAAACCCCTAAATCCCTTAATCCCTAAACCCTAAAACCCTAAATCCCTAAATCCCTTGATGCCTAGAACCCTAAACCCCTAAATCCCCTATATTCCCCGGCCTTTGGGCTTGAACCAGGGATGTCCCGGCTTGTTCAGAAAGACCCGACTGCGGTCTGCAGCCGCGGCTACGCGGCGCTCCTATGGGCATGCGGGGGCTTTGGGGACTTCATAGGGGGCTTATTTAGGGTCTATATTGGGCTCATATAGGGGGCAAGATAGGGCCATATAGGGTTTATATGCTTTCGGGGGCTTTGGGCTTGTAGGGGTCAGGGTTTAGGGTTAAAGGTTTAGGGTTTAGGGTGTAGTGTTTGGGGTTTAGGGTTTGGAGTCCTGGGTTGGAGGCTAGATAGGGTTCATGTAGAATATAGGCAGTTATATAGGCATTGATTATATAGGAGGGTTAGGGGTTTGGGGTGAAGGGCTTATGAACCCTAAACCGTTAACCCCATCTGTATTTGGGCTTAGGGTTTTTTTTGCACCGTTTTGGATTTAGGATTGGGGGTTTCGGCTGACAGGCTCGGGGAACATGATCCAGGGATTAGGGTTGGGAGTTTGGAGTTCGCACTCCAATCTTTTTGGGCTTCTGACTGATTTAATATATACATGTCAGGATCCTAGCGATGATTGTGGGAGAGAGCAAGCACTGAAGAGTCTTCTTTATTGATACCTTCCATTTGGCATGGGGATACATGTTGTACTGGATTACTCTTTGATGTAAACCCGACACCGTTGCGACCCCCACTTCAGGGCTGTAAACGCCACATGGTAGCTCACCAAGAACCCACATCACAAACCTGGGCGGAAGCCTCAAGCTAGGAGAAAGGACAATCACACAGTTCCGGGAGCTTTTTGTTGTAGACAGCGCAGCACTTTTGTAGTGCGCGCGACTGTTGTCAAGCCATGCATTGAAACTGTGGAACGTCTGCGGAACGGTATCTTGTTGACCATCTCCACGACAGACTCCTTCTACACGGTCAGCAGCAGCGACTGCAAATGAGCGCGCTTGACCTTCTGCCACACCCTGAAGGTCACCTCAATATTTTGCTGCAGGTCTGCTGAGTGCTCGATCCATATGAGGTTGCCATTTTGGTGAACCTTCCCTGCAGAGGAAGGCTCCAAGGAGTAGTCCAGCCCACGTGGGTAGTGATGCTGGAGACTTGCAAAGATCCTTAGCTGACTGGAGGACACCTCCCAAAAGTAAAGGTTCAGCCTCCTAACATGACAAAGAGGACGCCCCAAAAGATTAACATCCTAAGAGCCATGCTAAAGCCGGCCGAGGATCTCTGTATGTGCTGATACGGATGGATCCGCTGTATACTGAAGAGTGAAGTTGCCAGAGGCGATATCAAAGCGCATGCTCTGGATCACTCCTCTTGCTGGTGGTTCGTGGCGAGTCACGGAATGGAAGAATGGAAGCTACTTCTTTAAGCTACAGGGAGACAAGAAAAATTGAATCCACCATAGAATTGGTGACTACTCGTAATCCTTTCCTACACTCCACAGTAAGCCTAAACTCTGAGCCCAAAACCGTAAACCCTAGACCTTAAAACCTAAATCTTAAACCTTAAATCCTAAACCCTAAACCCTAAATCCCATACCCTAAACCCTAAACCCCTAAACCCCTAAGACCCTAAACCCTAAGCCTTAAACCCTATACCCTAAATCTACTAACAACCATGCAGTAAGTTGATCACTCCTGCTACCCGTCGGGCGAAGGTTCTTGCCAAGATTGGCGCTTCGGGGTTTTGGCCGTCCTCCCATGGGATCCTAGGACTTAGGACATAGGGTGTAAGGCCTGAGGGTGTAGGGGTTTAGGACTTAGGGCTTAGGGATTTAGGGATGAAGGGTTGAGGGTTTAGGGCTTAGGGTCTCAGGGTTAGGGTTTGGGGCTTGGGGTTTGAAGGGTTTGAGGGCTTAGGGGTTTAGGGCTTAGGGATAAATGGTTTCGGACTTAAGATTTAGGTTTTAGGGGTTTAGGGGTTTAGGGGTTTGGGGCTAGAGGGTCCAGCGTTTAGGGATAACGGGGTTAGGTTTATAGGGCTTAGGGTTCCGGGTGCAGGATTACGGGTCTCGAACTTACTTTAAAACACCATACGATATGGAACCCCTATCACGGTTTAGAGTTTAGGGAATTTTCTTGCCGTATACCCACTACAGTAATCTAACTTAAGTTTCTCAACAACAACTCAGGATCATGTACCAGTAGGTCCAGGAATGTAGGTTGGTGTCCATGGTGTTCATGGAGAAGTCGAGCAACCTCTGGTTTAGGGTTTTAGGGTTTAGGGTTTAAGGTTTAGGGATTAGGGTTTAGGGTTTAGGGTCCAAAACCCTGAACCTTAATGCCATTCATGGTAGCCTAGCCCGAGGATCTAAACCCTGAGCTCTAAATCCTGAACTCCGAACCCAAAGCTCCAAGCCCTAATCCCCAAACCCTAAGTTCCAAGCCCCAAACCCCAACGCCTAAACCCTAAACCGTAAGCCCTAAACCCTAAACCCTATACCATACCCCTTTAGTCCACTTTTCTGGAGAAGTCGAGGCAACCTCTGCATGGCTGTGTCGCTTGCATTGACAGCCCCAAACTCGCTCAGGATGGCTGCCACCTTTTTGGGGCTTTAGGGCTATCTAGGGTTTAGGGTTTAGGGTTTAGGGTTTAGGGCTATAGAGGCTATAGGGAAGATATACGGGGAACACGGGATAGGGGCTAAAGGGAAGCCATAAGGGTATATTGTATATGTATATATGCACATATATATATACACATATGATTTGGGGTTTAGAGTTTAAGGATTCGTGGCTGGGGCTTAGGGTTTGGGGCTTATAGGGTTTGGGGCTTAGGGTTTTCGGCTTAGGGATTGGGGCTTCCTTAGGGTTTGGGGCTTGGGGTTCAGGGCTTCGGCAAAAGACCTTCCACCTGAAGTCGCTTGGTGTCTGCTGCTCTGATGCCAAACTGCCAGCCATTGAACTTCTCACAGAGCCACTCCTTCCTGGGTTGCTCTGAAGGAACTCAAATTAAGTTACCACAATGGGTATATATAGTAAATAATAGGGTTTCCCCATATAGTACCCTAAACCCTTAACCCTAAACCCTAAACCCTATCCCCAATATAGTAACTTAAACTAACTTCCTTAAACAGCAACCCAGTTTCAGCCGAGACGAGGATGTACGGGGCATGTCTGTCTGCACCCATGGACAGTAGATGTGATAACTGAAGGCAGTCTTGTGTCCTTAGCCCCCCTTTAATTGGATCCAAAAATGCAGAGAAACCGGATTATGTACCTTCTATAGAAACCGGATTATGTACCTTCTATGCACATATGCAACTGTGCCCATATACTAAAACTAGACTTCATTCTCTTTTCCATTCCCAAAACCCTAAACCAAAAACCAAACATGGTCCTGTTTTCCTGGGAGTAGGAAGAGGAAAGTAATTAAACAACAAAGGAACCATACCCCAAATCGTAAGCATAAGCAACCCGAAAATCCTAATGCTCAAGCCCTAACCCCTAAACTCTAAAGCCTGCACAACCCTTGAACCCGAATCTCTAAACCCGACGACATCCCTAAACCCTAATCCCAGAACCCCAAA